TACTATTCGCGCGTTTTGAAGTGCGAGGGACAACATATCAAAAGATGGCGATTGCTTTTTTGGGTTCCTTTCTTGAGAGGTCCGCCTAGCCGGCACTCAAAGTGCCGCGCTGGCCCTCCACCCAGACGTGTGGCGGTGCCGATCGCCGTCCCGGGTCAAGTCCAGAGCCATCTTATGATATGTTGTTCCCAGCACTTCAAAACGCACAAACAGGTGTATGTTGTGTAAACAAAAAAAAATAGTTCTTCACACAATTTTTTTTAGCAGTCAGCAACAGCGTAGAATCGATCGTTCCCTGGAGCATTAGCCTGTATCTCGCCTCTACGGCTCAGTCGGAAGCGCGCCCGCTCGGAGCGCGGAAGGTCGGCGGTTCGATCCTCCGACGATCTGAATTTTTTTTCTCAGGCCACCAAATTTCGGATGGACTTCAAACCCTTCAAACTGCGTCATAGGTGTCAGAAAGTGTCGGCTCTGGGCCGGGTTTCGCGCCCTGGTGCCTGCCACCTCGCTGTGGTAGCTGGGTTGATAATGAGACCTAGAAACTGGCTTAAAAGGGCTCTATGACCTGTGGTGGGTCAGTGCAGTTTAACCAACGTACGCCACAACCGTCTCACAAACCCCGGGAGTATGTTCTGACCATTGCGGTTGGAAGCGGCTGTTCGGAACAGTGACCGACAGTTCGCTAACTACTGCGGTGGGATGAGGAAAGTACTCCCCCATTTTTATTTTTTATTTTTGAAGCCTGTTCCTCTTTGAAGCACATTCTCCTCAAATTTCAGCATATCGACGACGAGGTCGGAGAAAATTAGGTCGGTCAAAAGCTAGGCCGGGCAGCACTGACTTTTTAGGATTTTGTTTTTGAAAATTGGTCGGACATTCTAGCTGCGCCGCGGAAGGGTCGTTCTGTCTTTCACGACGCGGCCCACTGCGTCAGGCAGCTGGCCCAAGTGCGACCGTTGGTGTACGGGGCCGAGGTGCTGTGCGACAAGTGCGACGGAGTGGCCGGTGGCCGGTGAGGGACTGTAGAGGCGGCGCGAGCGACGGCGGCGTCCAGAGAGTGACAGGTGATTCGGCGAGCAGAGAGCCACGCCAAGAGGCGGGGGGAGGGGGGGAGGGTAGAAAGTGGACAGAAACAGTCCGGCCAATATTTGTTTTTTTGTTTTGTTTTTTTTTGTTTTTTGTGCCAGTGAAGAAATTTTGCTTGTTGCAATAAATGAATGGTTCACTTTATCGATGTTTGACATATTCTTTATTAAACAGCGAAACAACAGCAAGGAAAACCAATCACGTCACCAATCTTGTCATGGCACTAAGATTATTACACTAATACACAATATTTTCAGTCAGGCAGCCGTCCTTTTCAACAGCTGCCAAATACAATTTGTATAATCAAGCAAGCGAACTTCGCAATGCGTTTCATTCGCTGCGCCGTATTTTAATTCAAAAGTTACTAGTACGGTGATTCTTTTTTTTTCAGTATTATTATTTTGTATTTGGACACTAGTATCATCATTACTGCATCATTTGCTTTTCTTTACGTTTCTGTACCTGTATACCTATTTTTGAAACGAGGTACAGCATGAAACACAGGAAAGCAGTACTGTTTTCAGCGTGTGAAGTATACATTAATATATTTACAGAAACGCAGGCTCACCGCTCGCGCTACACAGACACATACACACACACACACACAGACAGAAAGACATAGCCACACACACACTCACACACACGTATACACACGCTCTCACACATACACAAGGAAAAACTATTCACAAGAGTCCGCGACGCGACTTTAAACGGAGATGAAGACCTTGCGTCGGTAGAGGAAGACGGCGACCAGGATCCAGAGCAGCGTCCCCCAGACGTTCTCGAGCAGCCGCATGAGATGCGTGTTCATGGGCCCGAGCTGCCAGTGGAAGGGGAACAGGCGGTAGCACAGCTGGTGGCCGGCGTACATGACGAGGGCGTTCATGCCCGGGTAGAGGAAGGGCGAGCCGGTCCAGCAGCGCCACACGTCGACGAGCAGGTAGACGACGCACAGCAGCACGAGCGCCAGGCTCGAGGTGAGCGCCACGAACGTGACGGTCCACAGGCTCTTGTTGACGGGCACGTCGCCGAAGTACCAGCCGCACACGCCGGCCGCGGCCAGCAGCACCGCCCACGTGAACCAGCGCACCACGCGCGCCCGCCACGACGAGTAGGTGACGAGCGCGGTGCCCGCCTGCACCCCGAGGAACACCTGCAGCACGCTGCTCAGGCAACCTGCAACGCAACGTTACATTTAAACTAGTGGAATGCAATGTATTTCTGGCTTCGTCGTATAGTATAGTACTCTAAAGTTTTCAATATATTTTTTGTTAGACATAGTTTGTTGATCACTTAAATGTGCAAGCCAGTTGAACACATTAATTATCCATGCATTTATAAAGTGAAAAAATTTCCCCCCAAAGCCTGCAATTGCTTTTCACTGTTCACAATGAGCACTATGGACTTGCAGCATGGTCCTCGCGTGTGCTTCCGGTCGGTCATCCCATCAATTTAGTCGCGACATCAAGCATTTAATCCCCACGAGCCCAGTGAAAATTTAATCTGTTCACAATGAGCACTGGACTTGCAGCATGGTCCTGGTCTGATTATCATTTGATTGAGCTGTAAACTTTTTTTACAAATAAGTCGATTTATCGTAAGCAGGCCAACACTCTCACTCACCCAGCAGGCCCTCGGGGTCGAAGGGGCCCGAGCCGTAGACGGCGTGCGCGCCGGGCGTCTGGTAGAGGTGCTCCTCGCCCAGGACCAGCCTGTCGACGTAGCCGGCCGCGCCGCCTGTGCAGTTGGGGTACGCGCCGTCCAGGTGCACGCCGCCGGGCCCCATGTAGCCGCGCGGGCAGCCGGGCACGTCGAGCAGCAGGAAGGCGGCCACGTGCAGGGCGGCCAGCGCCAGCACCACGACCCACTGCGGCAGCAGCACCACCACGTCGGCCAGCACGCCGGGGCGCCGGCCCTTGGCGCCGACGCCCAGGTCCACGGCGGCCGCCCCCCAGCGCCGGGGAGTCATGAGCACGGCCAGCGAGGCCGCCACCAGGTAGGCGACGGCCAGCCGCTGCAGGACGCCCATGACGCGCAGGGACTCGAGGCGGCTCGTCGACAGCGACGTCAGCGCCACGCCCAGGGCGAACAGCACCACGGAGCGCTGCACGGAAATTTTTAAAAAGAGAAAACATATTTTAACGTTTTTGAAATACATTTCGGTTTAAGATTTTAAAACCAGGTTTAAATTTGTGTGTGTTGTTTTTGTTTTGTTTTGTTTTGTTTTGTTTTTAAATCTGGCTGACTGACCCGTATGACTTGGAGCAGGAGGCGGCAGCGGCTAGCGCCGCGCGCGAGCTGCGGCCGAACGGACAGCGGGATGCACACGCCCATGATCCACATGAACCAGGGAAACACCAGGTCGCCGACGTACAGGCCGTCCCACGTCGCGTGCTCCAGGAACCAGTAGCCGCCCGCGCCATGGTTCACGAACATCATGAGCACGATGCTGATCCTGCAAAACGGACGCAAGAGAACGAGGTCAATTAAATGGCATTGCCTAGCGAAATCAATTAATCAAAAAAGCAAGTTTCCGAAACGGGAGTAAGAATTTCAAAACATTTCATGGCTGTTGCTGCAGATTCCCCGCCGCGGATGGACGGTGCGGTGGTGGCACCGCCTGTAAGAGTCGGAACAAGCCACCAACGTGACGGGCGCGTAGGATTGGTGGCCTACGCTGCAGGCGTGCCAAAGTGCCATCGGGGCCCCTGCCACTCGACAGCTAAATCAAAAATGCCTGCACCACCCGAAACGCTTGAAATCGCGTTCTAGAAAAGTATTTCGGGGGAAAACGCACACTTTTGAATTTTTACAATTTTTTTTCTGGAAAAGTTTAGGGAATTTTCCTGGAAATTTCCCAGACTTTAAAGTCCCCAGATACCATAACGCACTCACTTACCCTCTGACCACGTCGAGAGAGCGCACCCTCCTCCGGGCGGGCGTGGGCGCTGCGGCGGGCGAGGGCGCGAGCGAGGACGACGGCGACGGGGACGCCGACGGCGTGTCCGCGTCCAGCAGCTTGCGCCCGTTGCCGTTCATCTGCGCCTTGTAGTCGCCGAGGGCCTCGACGTGCTGCGGGGGCGCGGCCGCCGCGGCCCGCCTCGCCTCCTTGCGCCGGCGCTGGCGACGCCCGAAGCACGACGCCACGAGGGACACGGCGCCGTGGAGCACGGCCAGGGCGAGCAGGGCCACGGCCACGCTCGCCAGCGCTGCAGACCGACAACGGCGTCATGACTCGCGGTGTCCACAAAAATATCAGCTACATAGCTAACCCATAGCTAAATACGGGACAACCAATTACTATTTAGCCATGATAACTAAAGAATTTATTTGACCAATTTGGCTAAATTGTTAGCTATTTGACCAATTTTTAGCTAATTGTAGCCATTTTGCTTAATTTTCGCTACATGGCGTAATTTTCGCTACACGGCGTAATTTTAGCTACATAGTAAAATTTTAGCTACATAGAGTAATTAGTTATACCGTAGTTGGCTATTTGGTAGCAATCGAGCTAATTTTTCTCGAGCGCGACAAGACGTTATAGCATCGCCATTGTTAGAGCTCGTCTACTCACGAAAGAGCACGTTGACGGCCGGCTGGGCGGTGTGGAGCATGCAGTCCGAGCCGTTGACGTGGAGGTCGTAGACGCCGAACTCGCCGAGGGCGGCGGGCACCTCGCAGCCGGCCCACCTGCGGAGCAAAAAACGAACAACCAAGTCCGTTAAGTCTGCACGATGTGGCAGTCGCGTACTCCCACGTATAAGAGGCCCTCGCGCTCGCCTTCTTCCTACCTAAGGTCATCCTCGGGCACGGTCGCGTTGTCGCCGTTGGTGTAGAACCTCCAGGTGGCGGCGCGCGCCGTGTCCACCGTCAGGACGTGCGGCCCCTCCCCAGACACATCGGCGGTGCGGCGGTAGGGGCACTGCCAAAACATGGGGGATACGATTTTCAAATATTTCGGAGCCAGAATAAGGTTGGAAATTTCCAAAATTTTCAGGAAAATTTTGGAAAGCTTTCCAAAATTTGGGAAATTTTCCGTCTTTTCCGAAAATTTTCCTGAATTTTTTCGGAAACTTTCCAGGGTCTTTCAACCCTAGTCGCGAAAAGTAGTGTGGTGCGGCGCGGGCCCTTACGTCGACGCAGTCCTCCGACAGGGAGTAGAGCCAGAGCGGGTCCTCGTCGGCGTCGTTGTGCACGCGCACGTAGGCCTGGTCCATGCGCAGCCGCGTCAGGTCCAGGCCCTCGAAGTGGGCCGGCCCGGACTCCTCCAGCCACCACAGCGCCGACGGCAGCATGGCCTGCAAAAACAAGAGACATTGTTCAAACGAAACTGGGGTTGGAAGCCCTGCTTGGAAAGTTTCCGGAAATTTTACAAAAAATTTCCGCAAAACACGGGAAATTTCAAGGAAATACTGGAAAATTTCCCAGACTTTAAAGTCCCCAGATACCATAACGCACTCACTTACCCTCTGACCACGTCGAGAGAGCGCACCCTCCTCCGGGCGGGCGTGGGCGCCGCGGCGGGCGAGGGCGCGAGCGAGGACGACGGCTAACGCTAAACAAAACGAAGGAAAAAAAATAATTAAAACATTAAATTTACTTTTTTTTTAGGTTCACTTGAGTTGACGCGGTGTTTCTTACAGTGCGCATAGTCCGCGCATCAGCCCCAGACAGAAGTAGTGCCTGACTCTGCTGTCGCCACCCGCCGCCGCCCCGACACCCGCAATCAACAACAACAACCTCTCGCGGCGCAAATTTAATTGTTTAATCATGAAGATGAATACACACTGCTCGCGGGAGGGCTCGGGAGAGGAGGGGGGAGGGAGGGGGAGAGGGAATGAAAGAGGGAGGGAATCCGCGCAAAGCCACCGCCACCACCGCGACCCGGCAAAAGTGTAAACAAACTTGAGCTGCTGCCGCGCCGCCGGGTCTGGGTCTGCGGGACCGTGTCGCAGACTATCAGCCTTGCGCAACTGGACCTGCGGGGCTTCATCTCCATACCTCCTCAACCCTGCTCGTTCCCTCCCTTCCTCGCTCCCTCCCTCCCTCCCTCCCTCCCTCCCCTCCTCAACGGCGCCCTATGATGTCAATCAGGAAGGCTCGATCGTGCTAAAACGGCCCCGAGACTAACCGAGAAACCAACATTATTCGCATCTCATGACAAGGATAGCAGGTGCCCCCGGGGGGAGCGATCGAGCGGCTGACCCGACCGACCCGACCCGACCGGGCTCGGCTCGGCTTGGAGTGGTGTGGAGTGGTAGTATCCGGATGCGGACAAGAATACCCATGACGTAGGACAGCAGAGTGCCGTTTAGTGGTATTTCGCGAAAGATGGCAAAAAAAAGGAAGACACAAAGAGAATAAACAGGTGATGTGGTCTTGACATTAGCTGGCTTGCTCAACAGACCCCCAACGAACAAAAAAGAATATTCTCTGAAGTAAATGTTAAGCAAAACAATACAATCTTTTGCGCATTTCAAAAGCCTCCGCCTTTAAAATCCAAATGGTGCGCGAAACTTTTCGACAAACGCTTTTATAGGCACACAGGGTACAAGCAAGCCGAAGCGCGCTTCATGCACCACTACCACCACCAATAGGAATTGCGCAAGGATTGAGTGGTCAGTGCGCGGATCTGATCCGAAACCCATAAATTCGCATAAATCCGTTGATATAGGCCAAAGAGGCCCTGCTGCGCCCGCAGAGGGGTGGGCCCGCGTCCCGCCTCGCCTGCTGCCTCGCAGATGTAGTGCCGCCAGTGGCGCCAAAACGGCGTCGCGGTTCAAACGTCCGCGCGGTCGTGGTGGCGAGAGGAGAGACACCTTTCTAAAACTTTATTGCGACCCGACGCGGACTTGCTCCTCTACACTGTACCGGCCGAGAGTGAAAGCCTCCCGTATCGCACGTGTCACACACTTAAAGAGCGTGAACAAGCAGTCTGCATTATGTGGAGCCTCCAGTCATCCCGCCCCAGCAAATAAGCGCGCCAGCTTATTATAACATCTAACCGATCCAGACCGTGAATGGGCGACGCCTGCTTGCTTGAGAGGAGAGGGGGGGGGGGATACAAGAGCCATGGGGTGCAAAAAGGACCGCGGGCCCAGGGACCCAATGCGCATGAGATATGCACCCCAGGGGTACAAAATATCTCCCAATGACTCCAATGACGGTTTTGATCCTTTTGGCACCCCACAATATATGTATGTACCCTCCACCCTATAAAGGTCTTGTGGTATGTCATCCTGCTGTCGGATGTAATGAGTTTGATAGCAAAGGTGAGACAGAGCATCAGCTCCACCAGTCTCCCGTGTTGGATATACCTGCGTTATTCGCCCAAAAGTGTCAATAAAAGTGACATGTCGCCTGACGCTAGGCAGGTATACGGCCACCGCCCAGTGGGTGGCATTGACTACTGGAATACAGCAAATGTTCTTTTTAAAAAATATTAAAAAATTAAGAAAATAAAAAGAAGAAGACTTCAGCTCAGTCAAATTATATGCAAACTTTCAGGAAAGTTTTCTCCAACAAGGATTACCGTGGTATTTGTTTCGACGAGACGACCCGGAAACGACCAACGTTATAGCATGGCCATTGTTAGAGCTTGTCTACTCACGAAAGAGCACGTTGACGGCCGGCTGGGCGGTGTGGAGCATGCAGTCCGAGCCGTTGACGTGGAGGTCGTAGACGCCGAACTCGCCGAGGGCGGCGGGCACCTCGCAGCCGGCCCACCTGCGGAGCAAAAAACGAACAACCAAGTCCGTTAAGTCTGCACGATGTGGCAGTCGCGTACTCCCACGTATAAGAGGCCCTCGCGCTCGCCTTCTTCCTACCTAAGGTCATCCTCGGGCACGGTCGCGTTGTCGCCGTTGGTGTAGAACCTCCAGGTGGCGGCGCGCGCCGTGTCCACCGTCAGGACGTGCGGCCCCTCCCCAGACACATCGGCGGTGCGGCGGTAGGGGCACTGCCAAAACATGGGGGATACGATTTTCAAATATTTCGGAGCCAGAATAAGGTTGGAAATTTCCAAAATTTTCAGGAAAATTTTGGAAAGCTTTCCAAAATTTGGGAAATTTTCCGTCTTTTCCGAAAATTTTCCTGAATTTTTTCGGAAACTTTCCAGGGTCTTTCAACCCTAGTCGCGAAAAGTAGTGTGGTGCGGCGCGGGCCCTTACGTCGACGCAGTCCTCCGACAGGGAGTAGAGCCAGAGCGGGTCCTCGTCGGCGTCGTTGTGCACGCGCACGTAGGCCTGGTCCATGCGCAGCCGCGTCAGGTCCAGGCCCTCGAAGTGGGCCGGCCCGGACTCCTCCAGCCACCACAGCGCCGACGGCAGCATGGCCTGCAAAAACAAGAGACATTGTTCAAACGAAACTGGGGTTGGAAGCCCTGCTTGGAAAGTTTCCGGAAATTTTACAAAAAATTTCCGCAAAACACGGGAAATTTCAAGGAAATACTGGAAAATTTCCCAGACTTCGGAAGTTTTCCGTTATTTTCAGGAAATTTTCGGGGAGTTTTCGAAAATTTTCCGGAAATTTTTGAAAATTTTAACGCTAAACAAAACGAAGGAAAAAAAATAATTAAAACATTAAATTTACTTTTTTTTTAGGTTCACTTGAGTTGACGCGGTGTTTCTTACAGTGCGCATAGTCCGCGCATCAGCCCCAGACAGAAGTAGTGCCTGACTCTGCTGTCGCCACCCGCCGCCGCCCCGACACCCGCAATCAACAACAACAACCTCTCGCGGCGCAAATTTAATTGTTTAATCATGAAGATGAATACACACTGCTCGCGGGAGGGCTCGGGAGAGGAGGGGGGAGGGAGGGGGAGAGGGAATGAAAGAGGGAGGGAATCCGCGCAAAGCCACCGCCACCACCGCGACCCGGCAAAAGTGTAAACAAACTTGAGCTGCTGCCGCGCCGCCGGGTCTGGGTCTGCGGGACCGTGTCGCAGACTATCAGCCTTGCGCAACTGGACCTGCGGGGCTTCATCTCCATACCTCCTCAACCCTGCTCGTTCCCTCCCTTCCTCCCTCCCTCCCTCCCTCCCTCCCTCCCTCCCCTCCTCAACGGCGCCCTATGATGTCAATCAGGAAGGCTCGATCGTGCTAAAACGGCCCCGAGACTAACCGAGAAACCAACATTATTCGCATCTCATGACAAGGATAGCAGGTGCCCCCGGGGGGAGCGATCGAGCGGCTGACCCGACCGACCCGACCCGACCGGGCTCGGCTCGGCTTGGAGTGGAGTGGAGTGGTAGTATCCGGATGCGGACAAGAATACCCATGACGTAGGACAGCAGAGTGCCGTTTAGTGGTATTTCGCGAAAGATGGCAAAAAAAAGAAAGACACAAAGAGAATAAAAAGGTGATGTGGTCTTGACATTAGCCGGCCTGCTCAACAGACCCCCAACGAACAAAAAAGAATATTCTCTGAAGTAAATGTTAAGCAAAACAATACAATCTTTTGCGCATTTCAAAAGCCTCCGCCTTTAAAATCCAAATGGTGCGCGAAACTTTTCGACAAACGCTTTTATAGGCACACAGGGTACAAGCAAGCCGAAGCGCGCTTCATGCACCACTACCACCACCAATAGGAATTGCGCAAGGATTGAGTGGTCAGTGCGCGGATCTGATCCGAAACCCATAAATTCGCATAAATCCGTTGATATAGGCCAAAGAGGCCCTGCTGCGCCCGCAGAGGGGTGGGCCCGCGTCCCGCCTCGCCTGCTGCCTCGCAGATGTAGTGCCGCCAGTGGCGCCAAAACGGCGTCGCGGTTCAAACGTCCGCGCGGTCGTGGTGGCGAGAGGAGAGACACCTTTCTAAAACTTTATTGCGACCCGACGCGGACTTGCTCCTCTACACTGTACCGGCCGAGAGTGAAAGCCTCCCGTATCGCACGTGTCACACACTTAAAGAGCGTGAACAAGCAGTCTGCATTATGTGGAGCCTCCAGTCATCCCGCCCCAGCAAATAAGCGCGCCAGCTTATTATAACATCTAACCGATCCAGACCGTGAATGGGCGACGCCTGCTTGCTTGAGAGGAGAGGGGGGGGGGGATACAAGAGCCATGGGGTGCAAAAAGGACCGCGGGCCCAGGGACCCAATGCGCATGAGATATGCACCCCAGGGGTACAAAATATCTCCCAATGACTCCAATGACGGTTTTGATCCTTTTGGCACCCCACAATATATGTATGTACCCTCCACCCTATAAAGGTCTTGTGGTATGTCATCCTGCTGTCGGATGTAATGAGTTTGATAGCAAAGGTGAGACAGAGCATCAGCTCCACCAGTCTCCCGTGT